CCTTTTTGTAAATTGCCGAATGAGCATGGCACATCCTGTGCATCCTTGCATTCTGTTTTTATTTATTCAAGAAACATACACCCCCCGAATACCAAAATTAGTATGAACAGAGGCCATTTATGGAGACTTTCCAGAATCCAGCCCCGTGCCCACATTATCTCATGTAATACTCAATAGGGGGAAGAGGTGCTGATATTCTCATTTCACAGATGAGGAATTGAGGGCCAGATGCCCGCAACAGCTAGGTGGCAGGGGTGAGAACACAAGTGCCACGCCATGTGACTGCACCTGGGCTGAGGATGCTGTGCAACAGGGGATACATCCTTTGCCCTCAAAGCGCTTCAGGGGGGCAACAAGGGCATCTAGTTTTAGATGATAGGTGCCTGGAAATGGCAGAACCTGGTTGACTCCTTGTCCGGTATGATTCCCTTAGAAGACACAATGTATTTTCTATGCACACCCCTAGAAAAGACTTACAGCAAATTGTGAATAAGTGCAAATACATCTGGGAGGAGATGGCTTTTGAGTCTGGTCTTAAATGAGTCTTTTAAAGCTGTGGCTCTAGGATACCTTATTTCTCAAGACATGGAACTGTCCCTGGAGTCTTAGAATTGTTCTGAGCGTGGCAGCATTGGCTGAGTGATCTTGGGCAAGTCATTCTGCCTTCATACCAAGAGGCCACAAGAAGAAGGCATGCAGCCCTCCTGGCACCCTCTGCAGCATGATCACTGAGTCCTCAGGGTCCAGATGATAAGGAATGGACAGCCCGGGCAGGGTTGGACAGCTCGCTAGTGGCAGAGCTCAGGGCAAAATCGGGATTTCCTTCTATCAGTACCGAGGACACCAGCCTGGACACAGACATCACCATAGCTCAGGAAGTCTGCTCCTCCCAGGCCAGAAACCTCTATGTAATTGACATGGCCTGGTGCAAGATGAAAATGTGAGCCCCTGTTCAAAAAGTATTACGAATTTCACGACAGTGACAGCAGGCCTTGGGGCTTTCCATGTATGGGGGCCCGGTGCAACTGCATGGATTGCTTTCCTGTAAGCCGGCCCTGCTCGCGGGCATTGCTGTAAATGCAAGGTAGGCCAGGCACAGCCTTGGTGCCGGGGAGACTCTCTGATTGAGAGGAGGCGCTCTGCCTGAGCAGTTGCTATTTATTTTGTTTTAGGGTCCAAATTGCTTCATGGGCAGGTGGCCAAGTCGGCACCATTAAACCAGACAGGCACTGACTGCGGCCCCAGCTCACATGCAGCTGCAGGGCGGCTGCCTTCCCACATCTTTGGGGAGAGATGCTGATTTGTACTTTGTTGTTTGGTCCTAATAGAAAATAATCATCCCTGTCACGTGAATCACCCACAGAGCTGTGGCTCTGGAAACTTCCTGTGAGAGAGCAGGGCTGACAACTGTCCTTTTGTGGTATATTCATGCCCTGCGGTGCTCTGCTGGGATCTCAGGTGGGGAGAGAGTGGGTGCTGCAGAGAGAGTTAAGAGGAGGCCAGCTATCAGAGGACATTTTAGAAAATGAGGATAGCAGGCTGGGTGCAGTGGCTCATGCCTGTAATCATAGCATTTTAGGAGGCTGAGGCAGGTGGATCACCTGAGATCAGGAGTTCGAGAGCAGCCTCGCCAACATGGCAAAACCTATTCTTTACTAAAAATATAAAAAATGTAGCCAGGCATGGTGGTGCGTGCCTGTAATCCCAGCTATTCGGGAGGCTGAGACACGAGAATTGCTTGAACCCAGGAGGCAGAGGTTGCAGTCAGCCAAGGTCGCACCACTGCACTCCAGCCTGGGCAACAGAGCAAGACTCCATCTCAAAAAGTAAATAAATATACAAATAAATGAGGATAGCACTTGCAAACAGATCAGTGAAATCCAGAACAGGAGGAAGAGATGTTTTTTCTTTTAAAGTCTCCTCTTTATCTTAGGGTTCCTTCCTCCTCTGTTGTAGCCGACATCTTTGGTGCATCACTTGTCAATGCTCGAACAGAACGGTGGAGCTTCTCACAACTTGCAGCAAGGTTTCTAAGAAGTCACACACTCCGCCTTAGACCCCAGGGAGGTGAAAACATTTTTGTCTCTTGGTCCAGAGCCACAGAATTCTGAGTGATTCTCACCATTGCATTTCCCAGGCCTTTGCTGGGCCACTTGCTGGCGAGCATCTTGCAGCATGTCTGTTTCCTCTGGCTTGGAACCATCTCTGCCCTAGGACTGCTCTTGGTTCATTCATTGAGGAAGTATTTACTGAGGACTTGCTGTATGCTGGACATTGTTCTGGGTGCTGGAGATGTAGCCGTGAACAAGAACAAGTCCTGAGCTTACATTAACCAGGGCTGCTGACTGAAGCAGTCAGCAAACAGAGAAGCAGATACATCAACAGGATCATTTCAGAAGCCAGAATTGTTACAGAGAAAATAAACCAGGGTGACAGTACAGCAAGTGGCATTAGGGTAGCAGGTGCATAACACGGGCCAGGAGGGTCAGGACGACCACTCTGACTAGTGACATTGGAGCAAAGCTTAGTGGTGAGTGGGGAAAGGGTGACCCAGGCAGGAGGGACTGCAAGTATCTGGCCTTGGAGACCTGTGAGCATGGAGAATCCAAGGGCGGGGGTGGGGTGGGGAATGGGCCTTATATAGGGCAGAAGGATAAGAAGAAATGAGATGGCTGAGGATTAGGAAACCTCACGTGCAGGGCTTCATGTGGGAACATGATGTAATCGGATGTGCACTTGAGGGCACACACTCCTGCCAGACTGCCATTGAGGGCGTCCTTCCAGTTAGTGGCCCAGCACAGCTGTGGGTGGTGGAACCTCGATGAAGGGAACTCCGTCTTGCCCTGAAATTACATGCTGTGGGCATGACCAAATGGGTTTCCACAAAGGGCTAAATTTCAACAAGCTGTTCAGATAGTGGCTTTCTGTGGCTTGCCAGCTTCCAAACCGACTTTAATAAATGTTTACACAGCTCGCTCCCCAGCTCATAAGCCAGATTGCCTCCATCATACTGTTCCCATGTGAGGGTCACCCTTCACCTTATTCAACCTTGAAAGGCCCTACATCAATGCAGCCCAGAGTCCCTGGATGCCTCCGTCTTGTCTGCCTTCCCAAGGCTTGGCCAATTGTCTTTCCTGTTTGGAGCATTCCTTTTTAAATTCCATGTGTACCCCAGCCAAATATTTGAAGATTGGATACTGGCACTTCTCTTTGACTCCATTTTTACCCATAAACTTAGGGAACTTGTCTAGGTTGCCAGCAGAAGGAATATTAGTCCATTTGCTGCAACAGAAACTGTGTACCTGGTAAGGCGGGGATGGAACAAAGTCCATTTTTAAAAAAATTACTCCTTGGAGACTTCTCCAGAATTTCATGCCTTGCAAAATCTTTCCAGTTGATACTAATGAAATTGTCTTGTCATTTGGGAGATGCTGTATAAGGGTCCTGTATTCTGAAGTAGAACTGGAGAATACTTGCTGGGGGTAACTTTAACCAACAGAACCTCTCTTGGTCCTTACTTTCCTTGGGCAGTCCTGATGCTTGCAGGAGAGGGAGGCAGCAGGTCCCCACTCCCTGTGGAATGTAAGTGACATCGTAGAAGTGACATCTACCTGTAGATTGTAATGAAAGTAAGAGTTTCATACATTACAAAATTAAGGAACGTTTAAGATTCATCGGCCCTTCTGCAAGCCATTTATCGAATATAATTAGCCTGTGGTGAAACTTCAGGAAGAGGGAAGATGTGATAAACACTTGGATGTGAAAGCTGACAGACACCTAAGGGATGAGTGAGCTCAACCCCCACATTTTATAAGGGGAAAAAAAAAATAGATTCATGAAGAAGTGAAGGAGCCTGCCTGAAATGAAAAAGCCAGCCAGTGGTCACACCGGGCCAAGACTCTGATGCTTCTCCCCCATCACGTACCGTGTTTAATTAGCGATGAACAGAACCAGATGTCCCCAACAAAAACTATAGAAATCCAAGTGGGGAAGGAGGAACCTGCTGCCGCCCTCTCTGCCTTTCTCCAGAGGACGGGATGTGGGGATGTCCTTTCATCACATCATGGGATCATTTTCATCCCATGTTAACTGCAAGAATGAATTACGTAAAACAACTGAGATCGCAAAACTGTTGCCAGAGTTCTCTCAGCTGAATATGTATGTGTGTGTGTATATATGATGTGTGTGTGTGTGTGTATATATATATATATATATATTTATGTACACATGCAGTTTTAAAAAGCCTTGCTGTTTCAGCAAATATATTGGAAATTTACTTGCAGAGTAAGAGACTGGGCAGTGCCTGGATGCCCTCTCCACAGCCCTGCAGGCTGGCACCACGGTAGATGCTTTTGGGAGCAGTTTGGTTTTAAAATAGCGTGAAGATGAATGGACGGAGTCTTTCTTCAGAGCCTGGACTTCTAGTGCCTTTTCCTCAGCAAGCGAGAGTTAGCAGAGTTGGAGAGCTGGTAACATCCTGAAGTCTCTCAGATACTTCTTTTTATTCCCCGAGGGAGTCCTGTGTGTGGACTGTGCCAGGGCAGCTGAATTCCGAGTTGTTCTCTATCCCTTTTCTCAACTTCCTGAGCCCTTTGCTGGCTTGCTGCCCAGGCTTGTGTGAGGAGCCCAAGCCTCCAGTTCTCGCTGGCACGGCTGTGGGGCCAGGCACGTAGGTGGCTTTTCCACGGCACTGCTCAAAAACTGGCTCTCCCAGTTTGTTTTTGATTGTGTGTGTGTGTGTATGTTTCCATACCTATGCCCTAGAAACATTCCAGCCAGAGGTGCCAAAAATCACAAGGCCTTGTTTTGGGACTGGTGTGTGCACTGTGTTCCTGACTGTCTGCAAGGACTCAAATCCATCTGTGTTTGCTGCACCAGTTGAGGCTGTTTATCAGTGATGGGATGGGCTCCACACTGCACGGTGGCCCACAGGAGTTTTTGAACATTCTATTTTTGTCTACCCTAAACTTCCCCCTCAAATGACAGTGCTTTTCTTGCAGGTCATAAAGAAGGAAACTGGATTTTGGAGAGACTTTGGATTTGGGATGACGTGTCAGTATCGGTCGGACTTCATCAATATAGGTAGGACAAATCTGCATCTCTACTGCCACCCAGAGGCCACTGGCCTGTGCAGACCTTAAAGGAATCAAGTCAGATTTCCAAGGACTCTGGTGGGGAAGGTGGTACCATTGCCCTAAAATAAAATTTAAAAAAATGCTATTCCAGATTAGGTGCGGTGGCTCACACTTACAATCCCAGTGCTTTGGGAGGCTGGAGGAGGGAGGAGCATTTGAGGCCAGGAGTTCAAGACCAACTTGGACAACATAGCAATTCTCCTAAAGAGAATCACTACCAAAAAAAAAAAAAAAAAATCAAATGCTGTTCTTCATGTCATAGACTCAGGGCTGGACCAAGATGGGGCTTGGTAGTGGGCAGCATTTTAGCCCCTATAATCTCCACTAGCACCTCTCAGTCACCCCAAATAAGACACACAATCTGAGATTAAAGGCTGCTTGTTGCATCCAGGCAGCTTTGCAGCAAGTCTTCCACTCCCTTATCCCAGCAGGGTCCTGGCTACTCTGCCATCTCCTGTAGAACATCCTAAGCCTCCCAGTAAGGGTATGAGGGAAATAGGGGAATTGGGGGAAAACTCATACTCGAAAAGACCCAAATTTCTATCTGCTAACCTTCAAAATTCCAAATGTCACTTTAAGCTGTGACTGAATGTGCATTTGCTGTCAGTACATACACACACACACACAATTCATATATACAAATGTCCACATGTGCACACAATTCATACACAAATAGGCACATGCACACACACTCATACATGCACGTGCACATGCCTGTGGGTTTCTAGAGCACAGAGAGGAAAGGCCCTTGGGATCCAGGTGAGGAGACCAAGCCTGTCAAAGGCAAAGAGACCCTCCCAGGCCTCATAGCAGGTGAGAGGCAGAGTCAGGATGAGAGTAGAGGCCTCCTGTCCCCCTTGGAAAGGCCACCCCACCTTCCCATAGTGATACTCTTGGATCTTGGAAGGGATAGAGTTGCGGATTATGCATGAGCTGGGTATGAATGAATAGTCCAGAACCCTTGATCTCAGGTGCAGGGGCTCAGACTGGGCCCAGAGCTAGGATGGAGTCAGGGGGACCCTGCCCTCAGGGTGGCATGGAATGTCCCATCTCCAGGCCACTCACGAGCTGCTGGTCTCGCTGGCTTCTAGGCAACTCCCCCTCAGGTCCAAGGCCTAAAGCTACTCATTTTAAAATCAGGGATGAGGGGTAGCCCCAGGATTGTTTTGTTCAGAGATGATGTGAACTACAAGGACTACAGAACCCCCAAGGAAATCACCAGGTTAAAGATTAAAAAAAAAAAAAAAAAAGTTGAAGTCAAGTCTTGTTGGAAGGAGCAGAGCACCTGGGATGCCGGTCTGAGTGGTGGGTGCCCTGCAGACACTCAGCAACTAACAGCAGGCGTTCTTGGACATCTCTGAGAGAAATATTCCTAAATGGTTATGTGCAAATCAGCTTTCCAAAATGGACATTTAAAATTTTTTCTTGGCTGAATGTGGTGGCTCAGGCCTGTAGTCCCAGCACTTTGGGAGGCTGAAGCAGGTGAATCACGAGGTCAGGAGTTCGAGACCAGCCTGGCCAATATGGTGAAACCCCATCTCTACTAAAAATACAAAAATTAGCCAGGTGTGGTGGCGGGCGCCTGTAGTCCCAGCTACTCAGAAGGCTGAGGCAGAAGAATCTCTTGAACTCAGGAGGCAGAGGTTGCAGTGGGCCGAGATCGTGCCACTGGATTCCAGCCTGGGTAACAGAGCAAGACTCTATCTCAAAAAAAAAAAAAAGACAGACAAAAGTTAACTGGGCATGGTGGTGCATGCCTGTAGTCTCAGCTACTTGGGAGGCTGAGACAGGAGAATTGCTTGAACTCAGGCAGTGGAGGTTGCAGTAAGCTGAGATCGTGCCACTGTACTCCAGCCTGGGTGACAGAGTGAGACTCTGTCTCAAAATAAACATTTTTCTGAAGATTTTCATTTCAAGAAATTCTGTTTCCTTGCTCTTTGCATAGGGAAAGATTATTTTGTGTTGATGCGTATATTTATCAAATTTGGATTTAGAATATACTGGATTCTCCTGAAGACAGATATAGCTAAAAGTGGGCACAGCAGGCTGAGAAGGGTGCCATTCTCAGTAAGCCATTGCCACAGAAACTTTGAGTCACATTTAGACTCTATCCTTTGCAGTTTCTGACTTACTTTCAAGTCTACTTGTGCACCTTGTATTGATAAAGTTATAATAACGATGATAATAAATCAATTGCGGTTAACCAGGCACCACCTTTATTTGTCTTAGTTTGTTATGACACCTGTCTTCATTTAAGCATAAAGAACCAAAAATCAAGAGAGGTTAAATGGCAGCTTCTAAGGGAACCAGGACACAAATTCTGGATGGCCGATTCATAATCACATACCGTTCTTTGCCTTCCCACCATGGAGGGGTCACAGTCACTCGGACACACAGCCCGTGGGTGATTTGGTTGTAAGCTTCCCTGGGCCTGAGCCCCCTTTGGGGTTCCAGTGATGGCCTTGATCAGGGCAGCACAGCTTGGGGTGTGCAGGAACCAAAGCTGCAGGAGAAGGTCTGAGAAAAGGTGTTGAGAATCACTTCACTGTTTCTCATGAGAGTGAAGTCCATCCTTCTAGGTGAGACGGGAACAAGGACCAAAAGAGGCCAGGGCTTCATTGCTTCCATTTGGGGCCTGGTGCAGTTTAGGTTAAGAAAAGGTATGAGGCATCTCAATTTACCGAAGCGAGACTTCAACAGACCATTACTGGCTTTATGAAGGAGTTCATTACATAGTGACATGAGATTTTTCTTTGAGTAGAACTTCAGGACTGACTGTGAGGCCAGTCCCTTTAAGATGACTGATTTCACCAGCCTATGATGGAATCCCAGGCAGCTTTTCCGGACCCCTTCAGCCTGTGAAATGCATAGTGCTTTGGTGGGATGCGACTTCTTCACGCTGAGACCCTCTTACACTCGGTCGCACTGCAAGCCCCTCGTTTCTTCGCTGTTTGCAATGGCAGGAGAAGGCCACATCTTAACAGAAGCACAAGAATTTGCATTCAGAGGTTCCAAGCTGAGAAGTGGGGATGCTGTAGAAGCTCTTTTTTTTTTTTAAAACAAAACCTCTATTTTTAATTGTTATGGGTACATAATAGTATTTATGGGGTATGTGCAACGTTTTGATACAGGCATACAATGTGTAATCATCACATCAGGGTCATTGGAGGCACCCATCATCTCAAATATTTATCATATTTATCCCTCTTCTCGTTATTTTTAAATATACAATAAATTGTTAACAATAGCTAATTCATAATCACAATAAGTCATTTATTGTACTACCGAATACTAGATCTTATTTTTGTACCTATTAACCACAAGGTTGGGGCTATTCATGAGCATGGCTGATAACTCTCCAGTGCAGGCAAACGCTTGGAATTTTGTTGGAGGTCCTGTCATCTAAAGAAGTCGGTGCTGTCTGCCATGAAAGCCGTCTTTGTTGGGAAATTCCCAGGGCCTCTGACCCAGGTGGACACTCTCATACCTTGAGGGGGTGGTGGTGAAGCACACATCCCCTCAATCATGTCTCAATGAAAAGTTTGTGCTTGTTGTAACTCAGGGAAGCAAAACAGACCAGTACAGTGTGATTGAACAGTGTGTTCTCTCCCGACAGGTGGGTTTGATCTGGACATCAAAGGCTGGGGCGGAGAGGATGTGCACCTTTATCGCAAATATCTCCACAGCAACCTCATAGTGGTGCGGACGCCCGTGCGAGGACTCTTCCACCTCTGGCATGAGAAGCGCTGCGTGGACGAGCTGTCCCCTGAGCAGTACAAGATGTGCATGCAGTCCAAAGCCATGAACGAGGCGTCCCACGGCCAGCTGGGCATGCTGGTGTTCAGGCACGAGATAGAGGCTCACCTTCGCAAACAGAAACAGAAGACGAGTAGCAAAAAAACATGAACTCCCAGAGATGGGTGGGGGGAGACACTCTCTCTTTCCTTTTGCAATTACTGAAAGTGGCTGCAACAAAGAAAAGACTTCCATAAAGGACGACAAAAGAACTGGACCCCTGGGTCAGAGACGAGAGAGCCTCCGATTTCTCTCTGTTCGGCTTTTTACAACAGAAATCAAAATCTCCACTTTGCCTGCAAAACTAGCCCAGTAGCACCCTGCGAAGTGTCTGACAAAGGCAGAATGCTTGTGAGATTATAAGCCTAATGGTGTGGAGGTTTTGATGGTGTTTACAACAAACAGACCTATTGTTTTGTGTGCTCACTGAAATATTCATGATTTAAGAGCAGTTTTGTAAAAAGTTCATTAGCATGAAAGGCAAGCATATTTCTCCTCATATGAATGAGCCTATCAGCAGGGCTCTTGTTTCTAGCAGTGCTAAAATATCAGAAGGCAGAAGAGGAGATGTGCTTATTCTGATCCTAGTGAGTACATTAAGCAAAATCAAATGGACCGGAAAAGAAACCGTAAATATCGTGTTTTTTTTTTTCCCCAAGATTAACCAAACATAATCTGCTTATCTTTTTGGTTGTCCTTTTAACTGTCTCCGTTTGTTTCTTTTTATTTAAAAATGCACTTTTTTTTTTCGCTTGTGAGTTAGTCTGCTTATTTAATTACCACTTTGCAAGCCTTACAAGAGAGCACAAGTTAGCCTACATTTTTATATTTTTAAAGAAGATACTTTTAGATGCAGTTTGAGAACTTTCAGTTCAAAGCATCAAACTGATCCCGTATCCGAGGACATGCCAAATGCTGCTTCAGTCTGGCACTGAGTGTCAGGCCTGGAGACATAGGGAAGGAATGGTTTGTACTGATGGAGATATACAGATACTTTATCTGAAGAGTGTTTTCGAAGAGGAGCAACTGAACACTGGAGGAAAGCAAAATGACACTTGATGCTTTACAGAAAAGGAAACTTATTCAGACTGGTGATATTGTGATGTAACGAAAAGTCAGAAACCACATTTTCCCCTCAGAAGTGGGGACCGCTTTCTTACCTGTTTAAATAAACCAAAGTATACCGTGTGAACCAAACAATCTCTTTTCAAAGCAGGGTGCTCCTCCTGGCTTCTGGCTTCCATAAGAAGAAATGGAGAAAATACATCTATATATATTTTGTGACAGATCAGTCCATCTGCCAGAATCTAGTGGGATGGAAGTTTTTGCTACATGTTCATCCACCCCAAGCCGGGTGGAAGTAACTTAATTCGTTTTTAAATTAAGCAGTTCTACTCGATCACCAAGATGCTTCTGAAAATTGCATTTTATTACCGTTTCAAACTATTTTTTAAAAATGAATACAGTTCACATAGAGTGGTTTCTACATTCATGTGAAAATTATTAGCCAGCACCAGATGCATGAGCTAATTATCTATTTGAGTCCTTGCCTTCTGTTTGCCCACAGTAAACTCATTGTTTAAAAGCTTCAAGAACATTCAAGCTGTTGGTGTGTTAAAAATGCATTGTATTGATTTGTACCGGTAGTTTATAAAATTTAATTAAAACACAGGCCATGAATGGAAGGTGGTATTGCACAGCTAATAAAATATGATTTGTGGATATGACTGCCTTGTGGAGTAAGAATGCCATTTTGTTCCGTTTTTGGAAACAGTGTATTGTGCATGGACCAGGGTTTCTCAGCTTTGGTACTACTGACATGTTAGACAAGGTAACTCTTTGCTGTGGGGGGCTGTCTTCTATCCTGTGGGGATGTTTAACCACATCCCTAACCTATACCCACTAGAAGCCAGGAGCGTCTCTTACCCAGTTTTGACAACCAAATTGTCTCCAGTCATGCTCAAAAGTCCTTTGAGGGGAAATCACCCCTGGTTAAGAATCACTGGGCTAGAGGGAGAAGAGAACCATAATGAAAAACTTGAATTATTTATACATTAACTTGTCTGTTTTCATTAGAGGAAATTGAGAAATGATTTCCAAGGCCCCTTTCAACTCTGTGCTTAGTATCGTCATGTGTGGCTGGGCACTGTGGTTAATGCCTGTAATCCCAGCACTTTGGGAGGCCAAGGTGGGAGGATCACTTGAGCCTGGGAGTCTGAGACCAGCCTGGGCAACATAGTGAGACCCTGTCTCTAGAAAAAAATACAAAATTAGGTGTGGTGCACACCTGTAGTCCCAGATACTCCAGAGGCTGTGGTGGGAGGATCACTTGAGTCCAGGAGGTTGAGGCTGCAGTGAGCCCTGATTGCACCACTGCACTCCAGCCTGGGTAAGAGTGAGACCTGGTCTCAAAAATGTGTATTTTTTTTCATATGCTCTGATGATACTAGTGACTTGAGGACATGTGTTTGACCTGTCTCTGCCGTGGTTCTGCTGGATTTGTGGTGAGTGACCTGCACGCTCTTGCCCATATCCTCCCAGTGTCAGAAGGATGCATTTCTAACAAGGCTGGTGGTGGCAATCCAATGTTCTGACTGTGGCACTGGGCGGGTCTAGGTGACTCACAGGTGGCCCCATCCAGGCCGCACTCTGTGGGCTCATCAGCCATTTTTGTACTTGTTTAAATTGCATATCACAGATGCCCAAGAATTTGTTTCCTTTCCAACTTTTTAGGAGGTTCCTGCGCAGATGTGCTACATGGGTAAAATGTGTGTTGCGGGGGTCTGGTGTGCAGATTCTATGGTCACCCAGGTAATAAGTGCAGTACGTATTTTTCAGTGCTCGCCCTCCTCCCACAGTCCACCTTCAAGTAGGCCCCGATGTCTTTTGTTCCCTTCTTTGTGCTCATGGGTTCTGATCATTTAGCTCCCACTTAGAAGTGAAAACACGCAGTGTTTGGTCTTCTGTTCTTGTGTTAATTTGTTTAGGATAATCGTCTCTGGTTCCATCTATGTTGCTGCAAAAGACATTATTTTGTTCTTTTTTATGGCTGTGCAGTTACGAATTGGGTTTTTTAAAGTTGCAGAGAGTAGCTGATGAGGAGGTGGAACAGCATGATATTAAACTATGGTATTTCTTTTTTAAAGCTTATTCAGGTAAAACAGTTTTATCAAAGGATAGAGGCCCTCTTTAGCAACATGCTAGAGGAGAATACCCCCATTGCCTGCCCAAGACATACAGAAAAGAAGGATGGTAGAAGGTCCCACGAAAACATTAGAATTAGGAGGCTGGAATTTAAACTTAGCAAAGGAAAGCTGTACCAGAAGAGTGGTTTCAACAACCCAGTCACATTGCACATTCTCAAGGATGCTGCTGAGGAAGCAGTGAGTCTTGGGCTTGCCTGAGGCCCCTTCCAGCTCTGCATGCTCTCTCTGTTCCTATCCCTAAATTGCCCAGTGACCAGCAAAGGTTATCTTACTGAGCTGGGCTCCTTAATACACTGGGGGTCTCCTTCAGGCAATGGCGTACTGGTACAACCTGGTGGGAGCCAGTTTTGAGCATTTCTTCCCAGTCCTCACTCCATGTTGACTGGGTTGTAGCGTGAAATACACCATGGTGGGAGTATTTACACCATGGACTCTGGCAACTGGCAAATGCTGCCAATCAGCCATCCTCACCACCCCTGGGCCCCTAGGCCTGGCCCATTGTTAAATATTATATCAACACATCATTGCCTCCAAGTGACATACCTGGGCTCCCTGGGCTCTTTTTTCTGCAGTCATCTACTTCCTAGCCCCTCTTTGTATTTGTAAATGTGGTTGACTGCCCCTTTCCACATCAGCAATGAAGATCAGGCCTAGGAAAATAGCTACCCAGAATCTCATTTTACTAATGTTTTTGTTTCAGGAAAAATCCTCTCACCTAATGTTATATAATCAAGGTTCAGCTCAGTAGAGTAGTTGATATCATGGTTTTTCCAGCCAAACAACCTGGGTTCAGATTCCAGTTATTTCTCTTGCAATTTACAGGATCTTTAATTTAAAGGAGTCGCTAGATGTCTTCGTACCTCGATCTCCTCATTCAGCGTGATGGATTCAATCCCTTGTATATCATGCAATTGTTTTAAAGATTAAATGGGTTCATATGTATGAAGCACTTAGGACGCATCAGGCACACGGTAGGTGTTTAGTTATTAGCATTCAACACACAGTTCCTCACATACAGTTGTGTATCTGGCAGTGTCTTTTAAGCTTCTTGGTATCCCTAGTGCTGCTTGGATATAATCAGACGGCTATTACAGGCAATACAGTAAAGATTATGAAGCCATCATGTACACTGTTGTTCTTTTTGTCATTCTGAAAACTTAATTTATCTGAAGAAGAAGGGTTACTAGGAGTGTGAAATTTAATGGGTAATTTCTACCTTACGTTCCACACTCAGTAATATGGAGTTGATACCCTCCTGGGCAGCTGAGAAGCTTTACAGGGTTTTGAAGTCAGGAGCATAGCTAGGAACCTTATGTTCATTACCCCAATCTTCTAAACTAGATAATATCATTACTTTCATTTTCCAGGTGCAGAGAATGGGGATCAGAAACGTTGAAGAACTTGCCCAGAGATCCAACCAGTGAATAGCCAGCTTCAGACTGATATGACCGTCATTGTCCCTGACCATGACCCGTCACATGGCCAGCTCCGGATGGATTGGAAGGTCTGCGGGAATGAGCTTTGGCCTAGTAGTAAGTCCCCAGCCTGTTGTTTTTGATTCTCAGTTTTCTACCATTTCTCTGCTCTCTAGTCCCACCTGAGAAATCACCTAACAAGGAAAGAAAGCTTGCAAACACAGGGATCTAGGAACAGCTAAGGCATCTGACCAAGCCCTCCAGCCACTCTGCAATGACAGGCAGTGTTAGGACTCCATATGGGATCAGAGCCCTGGAATCTGGCTCTCATGCAGCCGACATTACACTGAAAGAGTGATGGCCTGGCACGGGGGCTCACGCCTGTAATCCCAGCATTTTGGGAGGCCGAGGCAGGTGGATCATGAGGTAAGGAGTTCAAGACCAGCCTGGCCAAGATGGTGAAACCCCATCTCTACTAAAAATAAAAAAGAGTTAGCAAGGCTTGGTGGTGGGCGCCTGTAATCCCAGCTACTCGGGAGACTGAGGCAGAGAACTACTTGAAACCCGGGAGGCGGAGGTTGCTGTGAGCTGAGATCGCGCCACTTCACTCTAGCCTGGGTGACAGAGTGAGACTGTCTCGAAAAAAAAGAAAAGAAAGAAAGAAAAAAAATGATTTGAGTAGGAGGGGACAGCAGGTGGGAATACTTGCTTGTTTAAGAAAAGACTTGATACTGTTCGTGAGAATTGCTGATTTGAGATAATGACCTTGGGCAGTTTCTTAGCAGGGCAGGGGTGTTTTACTCCCCACACACATAAAATGACTGGCAGCTTCGTGTGATCCATATTCTGATTAGCTTTATATTTTAATTCAAAGCCGTTTCTCCTGGCAGGGCTCAGTGCTTTGCTGTTGCTGCCAAAAACTATGGGGATGGTGCCAGTTGGTGGGGGGGTTTTGACGGTAGTTTTTTTCAACACACAGAATATGTTCTTTCCTGTCAGCAGAGGTGCCTTTCAAACTGTGCATTACTGATCCTTTGAACACGCCCTCTGGAGTAGTCACCCCCAGTGTCTCCTCAGCTGTGTATGGCCTTGTCTGCTATTCTAGCAAGAAGGTGGACAGAACTGTAGGGGAGGAGGGGCAGGGCAGGGCAGGGCAGGGCCGCCTTGGGGAAGCTCACAGCCTGGGAAGGGCAGGCATTGCTCTGGGGAGAGAAGTAGGGCTGTGCTTCTTGAAGACCTTTCTCCAGCCTCCACAGTCGCCCCAGGGACTCAGTGAGGGCCAGCCATCCATGGCAGCCTCTGTCTGGGACTAACCAAACGACCTTCAGCCTGGGTGGGATGTCTGGTGAACTGGATTTATTCTTCATCAACCTGAGTCTTGAGCTTGGAATGAAGTGCAGCCATGCCAGGCAACTTCCTCCACCTCCATTGTGATTCCCGAAGCTTCTACCCCCACTGCCAACTCACCCTGTCACTCCAGGGTTTCAAAAATGACAACAGTAAACATCATCTGGCCTGCTTAGATGTTAAAGCCCATTTGAAATGGATTAAATAAGTCAATGAAAAACCAGAAAAACACCCAAATTAAGTTCAAAGAAAGGCTGAAGGAAAAGCTTATTTACATCACTTGTTCTTTATCAGCCTCAAATGAAGCTACGTCAAAATCACAGCCCTGGCATGGCGGGCTATCGGAAGCAGCAGGGAGCAGCTTGGTTGCAAAGCTTTTCTCGAGCGCTGGCACACCATCGGGAGGGCACCCCTGGAGGGCAAGGCATTTGCCATTCTGTCTGGTTATTGAGGTGCAGGCCCATGCAGGGCTCCCAGGATCTCAACTTCATTGGTGGGAAGATTTCAACAAGAAACATCCTCCCAATTGAAGAAAAGCCAAAGCTGATTTAGACTGAGAAAAACAGAATGTGGGGGAGTTTGCTTGGCATTGCCTGACCTAGCTGGGAGACAGGCAGAGTTCATCTCAAAGGGAGCTGGGTTTGTGATGTCTCCTGGTCGAAATGGGAGGCAAATACTTGGGGATTTGTAATCAGGAATCATGAGGCAGCAGAGCCAGTTGGACAATGACTGATTTGTGGGTAAAAACTGGTTACTGCT